CACCACACACACTTCACACCACACACGACCACCTCACACCACACACCACACCTCACACCACACACGACCACCTCACACCACACACGACCACCTCACACCACACACGACCCACCTCACGACACACCACACCTCACACCACACACCACACCTCACACCACACACGACCACCTCACACCACACACGACCCACCTCACACCACACACGACCACCTCACACCACACACCACACCTCACACCACACACGACCCACCTCACACCACACACCACACCTCACACCACACACGACCACCTCACACCACACACCACACCTCACACCACACACGACCCACCTCACACCACACACCACACCTCACACCACACACGACCACCTCACACCACACACCACACCTCACACCACACACCACACCTCACACCACACACGACCCACCTCACACCACACACGACCCACCTCACACCACACACCACACCTCACACCACACACCACACCTCACACCACACACGACCCACCTCACACCACACACGACCACCTCACACCACACACCACACCTCACACCACACACAACCCACCTCACACCACACACCACACCTCACACCACACACAACCCACCTCACACCACACACCACACCACACACGACCACCTCACACCACACACGACCCACCTCACACCACACACGACCCACCTCACACCACACACGACCACCTCACACCACACACGACCCACCTCACACCACACACGACCCACCTCACACCACACACGACCACCTCACACCACACACGACCCACCTCACACGACACACGACACCTCACACCACACCTCACACCACACACGACCACCTCACACCACACACGACCCACCTCACACCACACACGACCACCTCACACCACACACGACCCACCTCACACCACACACGACCCACCTCACACCACACACCACACCTCACACCACACACGACCACCTCACACCCGCAGAGGCCCCCGCTTTCCATGGCTTTGCCGTCATAACACGTTGCACTTTTGGGAAATGCCCCCCTAAGGTTTGGGGTCCCGTTTCTCTAATCTCTGCTCGATCCCAAGACCTATTTTTCCACGTGGAATGGAGTGCAAACATGCCTAGGAGATGCCCAGCCCTCGTCCACAGAAGAGACGCCGGGCCCTGGAGAGCCGCCGCGTCCTGGAGAGCCGCCAGGCCTGGAGAGCCGCCGGGCCCTGGAGAGCCGCCGGGCCCTGGAGAGCCGCCGGGCCCTGGAGAGCCGCTGGGCCTGGAGAGCCGCCGGGCATGGAGAGATGTCGCGCTCTGGAGAGCCGCCACGCCCTGGAGAGCCGCCGGGCCTGGAGAGCCGCCGCGCCCTGGAGAGCCGCCGGGCCTGGAGAGCCGCCGGGCCTGGAGAGCCGCCGGGCCCTGGAGAGCCGCCGGGCCCTGGAGAGCCGCTGGGCCCTGGAGAGCCGCCGGGCATGGAGAGCCGCCGCGCCCTGGAGAGCCGCCGGGCCATGGAGAGCCGCCGGGCCCTGGAGAGATGCCGGGCCCTGGAGAGCCGCCGGGCCCTGGAGAGCCGCCGGGCCCTGGAGAGCCGCCGGGCCCTGGAGAGATGCCGGGCCCTGGAGAGCCGCCGGGCCTGGAGAGCCGCCGCGCCCTGGAGAGCCGCCGGGCCTGGAGAGCCACTGGGCCCTGGAGAGCCGCTGGGCCCTGGAGAGCCGCTGGGCCTGGAGAGCCGCCGGGCATGGAGAGATGTTGCGCTCTGGAGAGCCGCCACGCCCTGGAGAGCTGCTGGGCCTGGAGAGCTGCCGCGCCCTGGAGAGCCGCCGCGCCCTGGAGAGCCGCCGGGCCCTGGAGAGATGCCGGGCCCTGGAGAGCTGCCGGGCCTGGAGAGCCGCTGGGCCCTGGAGAGCCGCCGGGCCCTGGAGAGATGCCGGGCCCTGGAGAGATGCCGGGCCCTGGAGAGCTGCCGGGCCTGGAGAGCCGCCGGGCCCTGGAGAGCCGCCGCGTCCTAGAGAGACGCCGGGCCCTGGCCCTGGAGAGCCGCCGGGCCCTGGAGAGCCGCCGGGCCCTGGAGAGCCGCCGCGCCCTGGAGAGCCGCCGGCCCTGCCTGCGATCCCAGGCTGCCGCGGCGGCAGAGGCAACCAGTGTCTCCAGAAGGGCGTCTTGTCTGTCCGTCCATCCACGCAGCTCCAGCAGGGGCCAGATCACGCTAGGTGCCGGGAAGGGCTGTGGGTGACCTTCTGCAGGTTCAGGAGGAGGCTTCTCACCGCGGCATTCCTTGTCAGCACAGCCGGTGAGCCGTGTGCATCTCGCCTCTCACCACACCGAGCAGAAGACAGCAAACTAGGCGCGTGCAGGGGCCCAGCCCACGCCCTCGCGTTGTCCCAGGGTCGCTCTTCCCGGCTGTGCTGAGTTAAGGGAAGTACACCACCCGTCCCAGCAGGGCCTCTGGTGTGCATGCTCCTTTACCAGTTCTAGTGAGCAGGACCACCGTGGAAGGGTGGAGTGGAGGCAGGGGAGGTGGTGGGAGGAGGCAGGAGGGAGGGAAACCACTCCGTGAAGAATCCATCCTGCCTGACGCGGTCTTCCCCGGCGTGGAGGAAAGTAAATCTATCGACTGCTTCTGGGGAAACGCGTGTGTGGGGAGCAGCGGGCCCTGAGAACCGCGGGCTGGGAGCTAGGATCCTCTTTCTAAAGAGCCCAGGGGACTGTGGGTGGGGTTCCGGGCGGGCGGTCTGGACGCTGACGGACCGGGCGGGGCCCAGTTTGGCCTGTGTACCAGTGTACCAGCAGCCCTGCGCGGGGATGGACGCTGCGCGGAGGGACAAGCCCGGACTCTCCTCCAGCTCTAAGCACCAGCAAGACCCCAGGGTCGCTCACGCACTCCCTTGTCACTCACTTGGCGGCACGTGTATTGGCACTGAGTGCTCCGCAGACGGACGCCATTGTGGTTTGCCCGGGCAGCACCATCCGAGACGTTAGAACGAGAGCTTGGCTTTATACTGAGGTTCGCCCAGAATGCTCTCATGGAAGCCTGAGCGGCCTCCAGTTCCGTTTTCCGACGGCAGAGCCTTCCTGTGGGCGTGAGGCCGGTCCCCCTGGCCCTCTTCCCTCCCCCTCTCCTTCAGAACAGGAAGCAGCGTCTGGATCTGGGCTCCGGTCTCCTTCTCTCCTGGCTCAGGCTCTGGCTGCAGGCTCTCCCAACGAATGTCTGCCTGTCTGCAGGACGGGAACCTCATCCGGGCGTGCGACCTTGGGCCGCCCCCGGCTGGGCCCTGCCAGTAGCATCTGGTGCCCGTCCTCACCCAGGAGAGCCCGGGGGACGCCGCTTGGCCGATGCGGGCGTGGGCGTGGACGGGGGTGCTGCGTGGCCCCCTCGGGCCCAGCACCGTGCGCTTGGGAGTCGTGGCTCTGTTTCCCACATTTCTTTCACACACAGCCCGCTGATAGAGAAGTGCTTCCATATGGCTGGGGAGAACCCCAGCCAAAACCGGCTGGGGCCGGCCAGCGCTGAGCTTAACAGACTTCGTGGGACCGTAAGGGGGTCGGGCTGGGCGTCCCCTGCTCTCGCACAGGACTCGGTCGCTTCAGCTGGACGTGGGTGCAGAAGCGAGGTGCTCCCCCGCCTGCATGCTGTGCCCCCCCCCCCCGCCTCCTCGAGCCTGGCTGGTCATCCTCTGCAGACTTCATTTAAAAACGTCCACCACTCCAGGGGCGCCACGCCTGGAGCACCCCAAACAGCCACTGCGAGCCCCAGAACCCTCCACACAGGGGACAGAAACATTAGAAGCTCTTCAGCACAACACACATTTTCCTGGAAAGAAATCCCTCGCTCTCCATAGATTCCCAGCGGGTCTATAATCCAAAGCCGACCAAAAAACCTCAGTGAGAACCAGGACACAGGCAGAAGAGAGGGCCGGGAAGGCCGGACCGCCAGCAAGGCACCCAGACACACGGCCCCACACACTTGCACTCCACACACGCCGGCCAAGGACGCCACGAACCGTCCCTGAGATCCGCCCTGGCTCCGTGGGCCCCTCCCGTGGCTTCTGCTGAGATGGGTCTCACTCCTGCTGAGGGGACCGGGCTGTGTCCCCCGCGCTCGGCGGCTCCCGCTCCAGCCGGAGACCCGAGGCAGCGATGCGGGCAGGATCCAAGTAAGGCTGAGACTGTCAGCATGAGGATTTGGGGCCCTGTGCAGGCTGTGCGAACACAGCCTTCGGCCGCCTGACCCTTCTTCAAGCTGCTCGACCCCGAGGCTCCTCTGACTCTGTTCCTGCTACGTTCCGTGTGTTCCCACGGACCCCTGCTCCCCCTGGGTTGAGTTCAGAACCTCTCCCAGGTTCTGCTCAGAAAACCACCGTTGGCTTTCTTACCATCCAAATCCTCCCTGTGGACAGACTCGCCTGCAGTTATCTTTACGTACCATGCATTCGCTGCTTTGTCTCAGGCCCACCATCCAGCCACACACAAAATCCTCCCAACTGCCATCCAAGGGCACCAGAAAGGGGCCGGGGAATGGATACCTGGGACCAAGATGCTGGGAGAAGCAGGTCCGGGGAGAGGGGGCCTTACCTGTGGGGTGCACCTCCTTTCCCTGAGTTTCTTTCCCCAAACAAGAACAAGTAACACCCGCCCGAGGCTGGCGTGGGGCTGGCTGCCCGGCCCCTGGCCCGGCCCCAGCATCTCCCCAGCCGCCCTGACCTCCACGCCTGCCTCACGCTGCTCCCTGCACGCTGAGTGTGTGTTCATGCATCGCACGTTTGCGTGTGGATCCCCTGCTCCCAGGTCTGCCCCACAGAGGACCCGGCCCGTTAACACAACAAAACAAAAACCACGGGGGAGGGGCAAATACTTTCCAGTAGCAATCACGGGGCCTGCGGTGGTCATCCCCCGCGCTCTGGGAGAAATCTGGCTTTTAGGGAACTGACCAGAGAGACTCCGGCCCACCAGGAGGAGGATGCCAGCCCGGGGCCGTTCCGGAACGTCCCGCCACCCCGCAGGACCCCGTGCCCACACCTACTTTTCTCGGGAGACACGTGGGACTTGGCCTGGCCCCGGACCAGCCTGCAGGTGGAGCCGTCGCCGGCGCAGACACCACAATTGTCCTCCTTGGCCCCGCTGCCCAGCTGCCGGTCGCAGCCCACGGCCTGCAGGAGAGATGGCGGCAGTCACGCGGGCCTCCCTCGGCCTGATGGCTGTGCGCACACACGCCTCCTTCCCACCGCCCGCCTCACTCCACACCGTGTCCATCCATCAGCCAAGGAACGGGACTCGGGAGTACAGCCTGCAGCTCTCAGCCATCGGCCGCACGTCTCCCAGCGCGTGGCGGTTTCCCCGGATGACGAGCCAGCTGCCCCACATCTCTCTCTGGTCACAGACGCGTCCTCCCGTGCAGGTGCACCCCGAGAATGCAGCTCTGGGTCTAACCAGCACAGCCCGCCAGGCGGGGCTCCGAGGCCCAGCCCCGCAGGACGCAGGAGTAAACAATCCTCACGTTTCCCTCCGCAGCAGAATAGAGACAATGACGTGAAGAGGTGCTTCACAGAAGGGCTTAGGATTGCACGGCAGGTGTGCACGGGCTCCCCCCCCCCGTTTTCCCTCCCCTCTGTTGGGACCCCGCTGTGCCCCCCCCCCCCCCCCCCGCTGGAGGAGCAGCAGTGTCAGACTCTGCACCAAAGGTGCTGACCAGAAAAGAAAACCAGGAAAGTTCCAACCACATCCTTAGGCTCTTCCTTCCCAAACCCCGGTGTTGACAGGAAGGGGAGGACCTGACAGCTTTGGGGCGGAGAAGGCTCACGGAGCAGCCCGTGCGGAGAGATGCTCTCAATCCACCCAGGGCTGCCACGAGGAACGGCCGACCTCCGAGAAACTTTCAAGGGTGAAAACCACAGGGCTGAGTGTGATTAGGAGCAAGTTGGCAAAGCCGGAGACCTCTGGGGTGGAGGAAGGAGCTTCCAGGGAGTTAGCTTTCCTGAGACCCTTCCATCGTTCTACACAGATAGCCACTCGACCTTAGGAGTCACGGCTGGCTTTGTTTCTTATTGGCTGCTGGCCCGGTGCCTTTGCCCTGTTCCCTTGGCTCTCTGTCCCGGCGTTAGGACACGGTGACTCCCCCATCCGCGGACGGAGGGCGAGGCCCGGCTACGCTGGCCGCTCCACGCATATTTTTAAGGACATGTGGAACGAGTTAGGGGTGACTGATTTTGGAAACACATTTGCACGGCTGGGACTGGACCAGTGAGTAACCACATCCGTGCGCTGTTCTCCGAGGGGAGAAACGCTCCCGAGAGCTGAGAGCAACGCGCTTCCCCGCTTCCCGGGCCAAGCCCCGGCCTCCTCACCCCGGCCTGCGCCCTCCCGTCCCCAGCGAGGACACAGGAAGGGCGCGGCTTCGCCTGGAACAGCATCCGGGGCCTTGCAAACTCTTGGGCGACTGAATTCTTCTCTGATCATATCTGCTTGGTAATTTTTTAAAGTTAAAATGCCTCCAGATCTTACAGCCAAATGAAGCCTGTGAAAACAGCACAGAAAACTGGCATTTGGCAAAGGTCTGGCTGGGCCCTGGTCTGTGGAGGGGAGGAGAGGGCGTGGTGGTGGAGGAGGGGGTGGAGGGGAGGGCGTGGTGGTGGAGGGGAGGGGAGGGGGCAGTGGTGGAGGAAAGGGGGTGGTGGAGGAGGGGGGGTGGAGGAGAGGGGGTGGTGGAGGAGGGGGGGTGGAGGGGAGGGCGTGGTGGTGGAGGGGGGGTGGAGGGGAGGGAGTGGTGGTGGAGGAGGGGGGTTGGAGGGGAGGGCAGGGTGGTGGAGGAGGGGGGTGGAGGGGAGGGCAGGGTGGTGGAGGGGGGGTGGAGGGGAGGGCGTGGTGGTGGAGGGGGGGTGGAGGGGAGGGCGTGGTGGTGGTGGAGGGGGGGTGGAGGGGAGGGTGTGGTGGTGGAGGGGGGGGTGGAGGGGAGGGCGTGGTGGTGGAGGAGGGGGTGGAGGGGAGGGCGTGGTGGTGGAGGGGGGGTGGAGGGGAGAGCGTGGTGGTGGAGGAGGGGGGGTGGAGGGGAGGGCGTGGTGGTGGAGGGGGGGGTGGAGGGGAGGGTGTGGTGGTGGAGGGGGGGTGGAGGGGAGGGCAGGGTGGTGGAGGGGGGGTGGAGGGGAGGGCAGGGTGGTGGTGGAGGGGGGGTGGAGGGGGAGGGCGTGGTGGTGGTGGAGGAGGGGGGTGGAGGGGGAGGGCGTGGTGGTGGTGGAGGGGGGGTGGAGGGGAGGGCGTGGTGGTGGAGGGGGGGTGGAGGGGAGGGCAGGGTGGTGGTGGAGGGGGGGTGGAGGGGAGGGCGTGGTGGTGGTGGAGGAGGGGGTGGAGGGGAGGGCGTGGTGGTGGTGGAGGGGGGTGGAGGGGAGGGCGTGGTGGTGGAGGGGGGGGTGGAGGGGAGGGTGTGGTGGTGGAGGGGGGGTGGAGGGGAGGGCAGGGTGGTGGAGGGGGGGTGGAGGGGAGGGCAGGGTGGTGGTGGAGGGGGGGTGGAGGGGAGGGCGTGGTGGTGGTGGAGGAGGGGGTGGAGGGGAGGGCGTGGTGGTGGTGGAGGGGGGGTGGAGGGGAGGGCAGGGTGGTGGTGGGGGGGGGTGGGGAGGGGAGGGCGTGGTGGTGGAGGGGGGGGGTGGAGGGGAGGGCGTGGTGGAGGGGGGGTGGAGGGGAGGGCGTGGTGGTGGAGGGGGGGTGGAGGGGAGGGCGTGGTGGTGGAGGAGGGGGGGGTGGAGGGGAGGGCGTGGTGGTGGAGGGGGGAGGTGGAGGGGAGGGCAGGGTGGTGGTGGAGGGGGGTGTAGGGGAGGGCGTGGTGGTGGTGGAGGGGGGGTGTAGGGGAGGGCGTGGTGGTGGTGGAGGGGGGGTGGAGGGGAGGGCAGAGTGGTGGAGGGGGGGTGGAGGGGAGGGCGTGGTGGTGGAGGGGGGTGGAGGGGAAGGCAGGGTGGTGGAGGGGGGGTGGAGGGGAGGGCGTGGTGGTGGTGGAGGGGGGGTGGAGGGGAGGGCGTGGTGGTGGAGGAGGGGGGTGGAGGGGAGGGCGTGGTGGTGGTGGAGGGGGGGTGGAGGGGAGGGCAGGGTGGTGGTGGAGGGGGGGTGGAGGGGAGGGCGTGGTGGTGGTGGAGGGGGGGTGGAGGGGAGGGCGTGGTGGTGGTGGAGGGGGGGTGGAGGGGAGGGCGTGGTGGTGGTGGAGGGGGGGTGGAGGGGAGGGCGTGGTGGTGGAGGGGGGGTGGAGGGGAAGGCAGGGTGGTGGAGGGGGGGTGGAGGGGAGGGTGTGGTGGTGGAGGGGGGGTGGAGGGGAGGGCGTGGTGGTGGTGGAGGGGGGGTGGAGGGGAGGGCGTGGTGGTGGTGGAGGGGGGGTGGAGGGGAGGGCGTGGTGGTGGTGGAGGGGGGGTTGGAGGGGAGGGCGTGGTGGTGGTGGAGGGGGGGTGGAGGGGAGGGCGTGGTGGTGGTGGAGGGGGGGTGGAGGGGAGGGCGTGGTGGTGGAGGGGGGGTGGAGGGGGAGGGCGTGGGTGGTGGTGGAGGGGGGTTGGAGGGGAGGGCGTGGTGGTGGTGGAGGGGGGGTTGGAGGGGAGGGCGTGGTGGTGGTGGAGGGGGGGTGGAGGGGAGGGCGTGGTGGTGGTGGAGGGGGGGTGGAGGGGAGGGTGTGGTGGTGGAGGGGGGGTGGAGGGGAGGGCGTGGTGGTGGTGGAGGGGGGTTGGAGGGGAGGGCGTGGTGGTGGTGGAGGGGGGGTTGGAGGGGAGGGCGTGGTGGTGGTGGAGGGGGGGTGGAGGGGAAGGCAGGGTGGTGGAGGGGGGGTGGAGGGGAGGGCGTGGTGGTGGTGGAGGGGGGGTGGAGGGGAGGGCGTGGTGGAGGGGGGGTGGAGGGGAGGGCAGGGTGGTGGAGGGGGGGTGGAAGGGAGGGCGTGGTGGTGGTGGAGGGGGGGTGGAGGGGAGGGCGTGGTGGTGGAGGAGGGGGGTGGAAGGGAGGGCGTGGTGGTGGTGGAGGGGGGGTGGAGGGGAGGGCGTGGTGGTGGAGGGGGGGTGGAGGGGAGGGCGTGGTGGTGGTGGAGGGGGGGTGGAGGGGAGGGCGTGGTGGTGGTGGAGGGGGGGTGGAGGGGAGGGCGTGGTGGTGGAGGAGGGGGGTGGAAGGGAGGGCGTGGTGGTGGTGGAGGGGGGGTGGAGGGGAGGGCAGGGTGGTGGAGGGGGGTGGAGGGGAGGGCGTGGTGGTGGAGGAAGGGGTGGTGGAGGGGAGAGGGGTTGGTGGTGGTGGAGGGGGGGTGGAGGGGAGGGCATGGTGGTGGAGGAGGGAGTGGTGGAGGGGAGGGGGCGGTGGTAGAGGGGAGGGGAGGGGGAAGCGGTGGTAGAGGGGAGGGCGTGGTGGTAGAGGGGAGGAGAGCGGCCTTGGAGGCAAGGAACAGCCACATCAGGGACCATCAGCCACTCCTGATACAGACACTAGTAACAGGGCTGCCACTCGCTAAATAACCAGCTTTTGTAACACCAGCTACAGTGCAGCGTAAGTCAGTAAGAGGGTTTCTTATCTTACAATGCAGTTCACACGCAAGCTCCAAGCTAAGAGCTACAGGCACCAGCCACAAGCCAGGAGCTAGACGGCAGGGCGGGACTCCGCCAGGCTCCAGCAAGCCAGAATTCTTAGCCTTCCGCTAAGAATTCTCTGCTTCCGCATGGACTCCCCAACCAGTAAAAACAGAAAAGGGAGTGCTCCCCACAGCGCCACTGACCCCACGAGGGGCCTCCAGCTGGTGCTCAGTGCATCCTTCAGAACACGCAGTCTTTGACTCAGCTTCTGTGGGCAGTATCTGGAAATGGTTCTACCGCAGAGACGGCGGCCATGCTGCCTTAGAAGTCGGAGCCTGGAGTCTCCAGGGCTGTTCAGGGGCCTCAGCCCCGGCCCTTGGAGGGCCTCAGGGCTGTTCACAGGCCTCAGCCCCGGCCCTTGGAGGGCCTCAGGGCTGTTCACGGGCCTCAGCCCCGGCCCTTGGAGGGTCTCAGGGCTGTTCACAGGCCTCAGTCCCGGCCCCAGCCCTCGGGGGCTGTTCACGGGCCCTCAGCCTCAGCCCTGGCCCTCAGGGGCACGCATCCTCGGTCCTGACACCTGCAGGGTCCTTGGCCAGTGACGTGGGCACCCACGGGACGGGCGCTACCATGGACAGTTACCACGGGAGAAATGTGGGGGAACCGTCCCACAGCTGTGAGCTGCCCGACGGGGTGCAGGCTCCTATCTGAGGCCCGGCACACAGGGAGCTGGTTTCTGGAGGGAAACCCAGCTGTGTGACACGGAGGACGTGTTAGCCGTGTGCACATCACCAATGAAGGAGCCAAGACCCCGGGCGCTCCGCCTCAGGACTGCACCTCCACCGCTCTACCCATCAACGCCCCCTCCGCCCCAGGCAACGTGGGCATGGCCGCGATTTCCAGAAAGCTCAAGCTTTGGAGTTGCTGGGGGTCAGAGAGAACTTGGAAGGGAGGGAAATGGGATAAAGCCAGGAGGAACTCCCGTGCCAGTCTGCCACGTGGCTGGAGGAAGACCAGAGGAAAGGCCACGGAGATGAGTCTCATTGCCGTTCCCGCCCAGGCTGGTTCACACCTCGGGATCCTCAGATCTCAGCCTCCTGAGTATCGGGCTAGGAGATCAAAGCCAGCCTGAGCCTGCTGAGCCGCAGCTCCTCCCAGGACTCAGCGGCCATCCAGGTTTTCACTTCCTGGAGTACTCGACCTCTAGCCTCTAGGACGCCTTTTTCAGAGCCCAGTGAGCGAGGGCCTGTCCCGGGGCCCCAGACCTGCAGTTCAGTCTGGCCCACTGGCCCCGGCTGAGCCACACAGATGTGTGGGGCTCCAGCCCACACCCTGCTCCCCACGGGAGGGCCACATCCTGCCACGCGGCCCAAGAGCCGGCCGCCAGAGACCCAGAGGACTCGCCAGAATGCAGACTCCCAGGCCCGGAAGCGGCCGGCATCCTGGCTAGCAGAGGCTTCGGAGGCCCTGCGGCAGGCTCCGCTGGAGACCACCGCGACATTAGATGCCGCCACCTTCTGCCTCCACATCTCCGAAGTAAATCTCGAGTTAAAGACTAGCAACATTCTCTTAACAGACTTCTTACGTTAGAAATAGAATCTATATTCTCATCTGCAGGAACACAAGCCCAGGGAAAACACTCCTCCCTGTATAGCATGAGCATGGTACATTCCAGAACCAAAGACCTGGGAGTCGAGGGCTCACCCGGGAGTCGGGGGCTCTCCCGGGAGTCGGGGGCTCTCCCGGGAGTCGGGGGCTCTCCCGGGAGTCGGGGGCTCACCCGGGAGTCGGGGGCTCACCCGGGAGTGGGGGGCTCACCCGGGAGTCGGGGGCTCTCCTGGGAGTCGGGGCTCACCCGGGAGTCGGGGGCTCTCCTGGGAGTCGGGGGCTCACCCGGGAGTCGGGGGCTCTCCTGGGAGTGGGGGGCTCTCCTGGGAGTGGGGGGCTCACCCGGGAGTCGGGGGCTCTCCTGGGAGTGGGGGGCTCACCTGGGAGTCGGGGGCTCTCCTGGGAGTGGGGGGCTCACCCGAGAGTCGGGGGCTCTCCTGGGAGTCGGGGGCTCACCCGGGAGTCGGGGGCTCTCCTGGGAGTGGGAGGCTCACCCGGGAGTCAGGGGCTCACCCGGGAGTCGGGGGCTCTCCCGGGAGTTGGGGGCTCACCCGGGAGTCGGGGGCTCTCCCGGGAGTCGGGGGCTCACCCGGGAGTCGGGGGCTCTCCTGGGAGTCGGGGGCTCACCCGGGAGTCGGGGGCTCTCCTGGGAGTGGGGGGCTCTCCTGGGAGTGGGGGGCTCACCCGGGAGTCGGGGGCTCTCCTGGGAGTGGGGGGCTCACCCGGGAGTCGGGGGCTCACCCGGGAGTGGGGGGCTCACCCGGGAGTCGGGGGCTCTCCTGGGAGTCGGGGGCTCACCCGGGAGTCAGGGGCTCTCCTGGGAGTGGGAGGCTCACCCGGGAGTCGGGGGCTCACCCGGGAGTCGGGGGCTCTCCCGGGAGTCGGGGGCTCACCCGGGAGTCGGGGGCTCTCCCGGGAGTCGGAGGCTCACCCGGGAGTCGGGGGCTCTCCTGGGAGTCGGGGGCTCACCCGGGAGTCGGGGGCTCTCCTGGGAGTGGGGGCTCTCCTGGGAGTCGGGGGCTCTCCTGGGAGTGGGGGGCTCACCCGGGAGTCGGGGGCTCTCCTGGGAGTGGGGGGCTCACCCGGGAGTCAGGGGCTCTCCTGGGAGTCAGTGGGTCACCCGGGAGTCGGGGGCTCTCCCGGGAGTCGGGGGCTCACCCGGGAGTCGGGGGCTCTCCTGGGAGTCGGGGGCTCACCCGGGAGTGGGGGTCTCACCCGGGAGTGGGGGGCTCACCCGGGAGTCGGGGGCTCACCTGGGAGTCGGGGCTCACCTGGCAGACGCCGCTGATGCACATGTCCAGGGAGTCTGTGTGGCAGCGAGTCCCGTCGAGGACTTTGGGCGCCAGCTCCACGACCAGGCTCTGCCCCCGCGTGTGGCACTGGAGTGTGCAGGGGGCCACGGGGTCGTTGTACCGCGGGAGCCACTCGTGGAAGTCCCCCTGGTACTGGACGTCGTTGTACGCGGAGCACTGCTGGGCTCTGAAGTCCTCGGCGTCGGCGGGGCAGTCCTGGGGAGGAGGGGGCCCCGCGTCACCAGGGCTGCGGCCGGGAGGGGGTCCCCACGGCCCAGGCCCGCCCCACCGCCACCGAAGCCTGCAGGCACCCTCTGGTTAAACTGTGGACCGAGCCCACGCAGTGGCTCCTGCCTGTAATCTCAGCTACGCTAGAAGGACAGATCGCACGAGACTGAGGTTCAAGGCCAGCCTGGGCCAAAAGCTCGTGACCCCAACTGAAAACAACAACACGCAGAAGCTCGAGAACCTAGCTCTGATCCAGCACCCCGCCCCCAACAGCTCTGAGGACCTAGCTCCGATACAGCACCCCCTGCTCCCAACAGCTCTGAGAACCTAGCTCAGATCCAGCACCACCCCCCCCCCGACAGCTCTGAGGACCTAGCTCAGATCCAGCACCCTGCCCCCCCCCCCCCGCCACCCTGGACAGAAGCTCTGAGGACCTAGCTCCGATCCAGCACAGCCCTGGACACACACAGAAGCTCTGAGGACCTAGCTCCGATCCAGCACCCCCGCCCCCCACAGCTCTGAGGACCTAGCTCCGATCCAGCACCCCCCGCCCCCCACAGCTCTGAGGACCTAGCTCCGATCCAGCACCCTGCCCCCCCCCCCCCCCGCCACCCTGGACAGAAGCTCTGAGGACCTAGCTCAGATCCAGCACCCCCGGAAGTATGCATCCCAACAGGAAAAAAAAAAGGACTTTTTTTTTAAGTTTTTAAGATTCTTGTACCCAAATCTTTATAAATAACGACGATTTCCTTTCTAGAAATAAAATGCACGGATGCTTCGTGTGCTTCTCAGAACACTGCAGCTTGCTCGGCAGGAGCTGCCGCCAGTCCCAAGCGGGGCCGGCGGTCCCCCCAAGACTCCCCAACAGCGCACGTGCCGGCGATTTCCAGAGTGTCTCCCACCCAGAGTGTGGGATAGAGTCCTGTCGCTTTCTTTTGTCTTTACTTTTTATTATTTAGTTTTAGTATCTCTTCAAGTTTATTTCCTTCAAAAAAAACAAAAGTTTGCTTTCTGTCTTCTAGTTGCTGTCCGTGGAATGCCTGCCTGCCTTCCCTCCTTCCTTCCTTCCTTCCTTCTTTCCCTCCTTCCTTCCTTCCCTCCTTCTTTCCTGCCTTCCACATGAAATGATTACCCTTCGCAGTCAAGCTACCACATTTTGTCATTTGGGTTGGATCTGCTTTCCTCACTTGATTTTGCTTTTGGTACTCTGTGAAGTCAAGACGTTTTAAACTTGTACCTAGTTGCTGTCTTTTGTTTTTCTTCATCAGTGGCCGGGATGCGCTTCCTGACTCTCTCCTGAGCACGAGCCGCAGTTCCTCAACAGACCAGGATAAAACACGTTTAACCCTTTGTGCAACTCTCGGGAGTGAGTGACATCAAGTAAAATTCATGTCTTCCTACGAACCGTTAATGATAAATTTGGGGCCATTGTTTTAAAATGCTTTGTTTCATTTCTCCCTCTTTCATTACACTGGTTTTGTGTTTTCTTGGGTGTGTGTATCCACCGTGTTTATAAGTTGCCTCAAATCTTCTGGATGTAGGTAAGGGACAGACAGAACTAGTTTCCTCCAGAATTCTACCTTTGTCCATATTTTTGTCTTCTGAGCTGGACTAACCTGTGGGATCAAGTGGAAATGAAGCGTGAAGTCGATGGCTCCCCGGTCCTGGGTGAGGAGTCAGCTACCCCCACACTGAGAAGCTGGAGGAAAGGTGCCAGGCTCTCCAGGACCATGGCTACCTGGCAACGAGCACGGATGACAAGACATGCCCTCCTCCTCCTGCCCCTGGCCGACTGCGGCTCTGCAGCACACTCTGAGTGCAGAGCGGCGTGTGTCCAGCGGGTCCAGCGGGTCCAGCGGGCCCCTCCGTCCTGCCGTGGGGCCGGGGCTGGATGCTGGGTGCCTTGCCCCCACTGCCAGGCACCTGTCCACAGGGAGCAGGGAGCGAGGAGCGAGGAGGGGCCAGGACGCCAGCCGAGCCCAGGCCTCCGTCCCGGGGCGGAGCTGGCCGCCGTGGGCACATCCAGCCCAGGCCTCTCAGGCTGAATCAGGAGTCTGGAATGGCAGGAAAGCCACTTCCGCCAGGCCTGGCCTGGCCGTTTCTCTCTCGAGACAAAGCCAGGCAGTTCCAGTGCGGAGAAGAACGCATTAGGCGGGAGCAGGAAGGCGGCCGCCCATCCTGCGGGTCGCCGGGGCTGCCGCCCTTCCATTCCCCTCCGGCACGCGCCGCCTGGCGGGGTAGCAAAGCCCATTTTTCTTGTGCCAATCTGGATGAGGTCTGTCGTAGCAAAGACAGCCGTGCTCTGGCGAGCTCCTGGGGCGAGTGGCCATTCTCTCGGACATCTCTCTTCCGCCTCTCTTCACACGCAGCTGGGCAGGATTACCACTACTTTTTTATTTAAAAGACATCACTGACAGAACTGGTGGTCCCAAAAGTATTCAATCGCCAGCCCAAATACAATCGGGCCAAACGTGGTGGACAGCCACGGCCGGCGGCCGGCGCGCCGACTGTGCCCCTCCCCCCGCGGTCAGTCCAGCCCGTCCAGTCCGTCCAGTCCGTCCAGTCCATCCAGTCCATCCAGTCCGTCCAGTCCATCCAGTCGGGCTCTGCGGGGCTGTGTCCCAGCCCAAGACCACTGGGGCTTCGCCTCTTGAGCAGTTTATTCCGCATTTGGGAAACTTGGAACCCAGTACCTTCTACATTCCCGTCTCTGAGACACAGCTCTTATGAACGACCTTTGATCACTAAAGGTATGAGTCTGGCTCCAGGTCACAGACTTCACATACACCAAAGAGTCACGCAACGCTGAGCTCAGTCCACTTATTCATTCTCCGGCTGCAGATGTGGAAGCGTGGAAACACTGGGGCCTCCCATATCTGTGGCTCAGACCACAATGCCGGAAATGAAACTCATTCTGAGTTAAGCTACAACATGGATGAGACTGAGTTAACCAATCTAACCTGCAAGATTGAACCGGAAGCTAATGGTGTGACTCAAGAGGAAGAAGACAGGCCAGGGAATCACACAAAAGGAAGAGAGGGAGAGGAGAAGAGACAGGAAAACAGGAGAGCAGAGGAGAGCGATGCACAGGGGAGGATGGGGAGGAGGCCCCGAGAGAGGGAAGACAGGCAAGGGAGAGGGAAGAGAAAAAGCAGCACCACCCCGGCCGTCCTGAGAACAGCGCTTCCTCCCACTCTGATCACCACCCGAACCTGAAAGCCACGTCGACGAGGAGAGAAGCCAGAGCGGGAAGAATGTCTGCTCAGCCGAGCGAGGGCAGCCCTGGGAGCCGTCCACGGCCCGAGCGCCTACGGACACGGAGGATTGGGCCAGGCCTCCATTCGGATCAGACGTTTTGCTCCTGCGTGAACCGGCGCTGCACCGGGGGTCGGAAGAGCACAGGAAGAGCACGGTGCACATAAACCCCTCCTTCCTTCTCGTGGACAGGAGAGGTGGTCTGCAGAGGGCGGCATAGCACCGGACAAGCCAGGGCATGAAGAGCATTTCTCCCATCAGCCTCGGGTCCCTAGTTTGCGCTCGCTCCCCTGTCCCGCGGGGCTGGTGGTGGCGGGCAGGTGGTGGACACAAAACACTGGGACGCTGGAGGAGCGTGCCGCTGTCTATACCGTGTCCACGAGTCCAGACACTGATAAATACTTAACAAAGCAGACCGCTGCATCAGACGGCCTGACAAGGGGGGGGCAGAAATGGAAGGTACCCCCCAAACTGTCATCAACTGAACAACACTCAAAGCTTCCACCAAGAGACCGGCGTGCAGAACGTGTTACCGTACGTGATTTCACCTTCTCTGAGGACGTACCTGATTGCTGCACGTCTTGTATCGGATATTCTGCCCTTCACAATTCCTAGGGGAGGAGGGAGAGAGAAACAATGACTCGGCGGAAGTGGCCACGGAGCAAAAGCAAAGCACGGCGGCGGCTTCCGAGCTGCGCTCTACGTGCGGACTCCCTGACAGCAAGGCTGGAGGAGGGGACCGCGGAGTAGACAGAGAATCCTTTTGCTGATTAACACCATAGCCCACAAGTGAACCATGCTCAGGCAACCCTTGTGCCAAGGCCCGGCGGCCACTGAGACGGAGGTGGTGTGTGTGCACGCGTGTGCGGATGTGTCAGCCTTTCCTGAGGACGGGGGAAGGTGGACAGCCGGTCCTCCACGCTTGCTGAGGAGACTCGCGTGGACGCGGCACTCCTGGCCTCTTCTAGCTGTCTGCCAGGAGAGCGCGTGCCGGCCGGGGCATGGCCCTCCTGCAGGCTGCCCAGTGGGCGCTGGACGCCCCGCCCACACAGGTGACCGTGCACCCCGGCCGAGCCGGCCCCGGGAGGGGGGGGGCTGCTCACACCTTCCTGGTTTGGTAACTGTGTTTCTATTTCTAAAAACTTGTTGTAGGGAAATTATTGAGTTGTTTTGTTTTTTTTTTTAAAGAAACCATTATGAGACTGCACCAAAATGTTAACCGTGGAGAAAGGCCGACCAGGGCCACGCCGGGTGGAGGCACGCAGCCGTGCCTGGCGGTGAGATCCGCCGCGCACCAGGCCGCCCGGATGGAAGGGGTCGTCGCCATTACTGTGACTGGGGAGGCCTCAGACGGAGCAGAGGGCTGGTGGGCAGAAGCAGGCCCCGGAGCGCCTTACTCCTACCGCCAGCGCCTCTCGCACACAGAGCACTGCGCCCCCAGACCACCCAGGCAAAGAAGGGCGTCCTTAGAGGGCTCAGAAGTTCAGAAGCACTTTCTCAGGAGCCGCACTGCTAGTAACGCCATTTCAGCCGTCTAAATAGAAGTTATTTTAATGAATAACACTCAAACAAAAAGGGAAGGAGAAGGCGTCAGCCCAAGCGGAGGAGAAGGCGTCAGCCCAAGGTGCCTCCTGGGGCGGCTCAAGCCCGGTGGACGCCGGCACCTTGGGCTTTGTCCAAGTGGGTTCCCTGCAGCCTCTTCAGAGAAGAGCCTAAAACTATGAACCTAAGTCCTAAGCCCATCATCCTTACACACCTCCGCAAATCATCACACACCCCTGCAAGACATCACACACCTCTGCAAACTACCACACACCCCTGCAAGACACCACACCCCTGCAAGATACCACACACCCCTGCAAATCACCACACACCCCTGCAAATCACCACACACCCCTGCAAGACACCACACAGCCCTGCAAGACACCACACACCCCTGCAAGACACCACACACCCCTGCAAGACACCACACACCCCTGCAAATCACCACACACCCCTGCAAATCACCACACACCCCTGCAAGACACCACACAGCCCTGCAAGACACCACACACCCCTGCAATACACCACACACCCCTGCAAGACACCACACACCCCTGCAAGACACCACACACCCCTGCAAATCACCACACACCCCTGCAAATCACCACACCCCTGCAAGACACCACACACCCCTGCAAGACACCACACACCCCTGCAAGACACCACACACCCCTGCAAGACACCACACACCCCTGCAAATCACCACACACCCCTACAAGACACCACAACCCTGCAAGACACCACACACCCCTGCAAATCACCACACACCCCTGCAAGACACCACAACCCTGCAAGACACCACACACCCCTGCAAGACCACACACCCCTGCAAGACACCACACACCCCTGCAAGACACCACACACCCCTGCAAATCACCACACACCCCTACAAGACACCACAACCCTGCAAGACACCACACACCCCTGCAAATCACCACACACCCCTGCAAGACACCACAACCCTGCAAGACACCACACACCCCTGCAAGACACCACACACCCCTGCAAGACACCACACACCCCTGCAACTCACCACACACCCCCATGTATACCCTACCTAAAACAATCCTTACACATCACTCTTACACACCCACGTGAACCATCCTTGCACAGCCCACTGCGACCTCTCCGGGATAGAGAAAGGAAAGCATTGCTGTCATGAATCCGCAAACTGACAGGCTCCATTTAGGACCGAGTTCTTTCTCCCACTGCCTTCTGTGGCACACCTACTGTGTGTCCAGCTAACAGGAGGACCTACGGCGGGTCCGGGTGTGGACAGAGAGAAGAGACCCCGCTTGCCGCTGCCTTCCCACTCAGCAGTAACGGTGCCCGACCCCAGGTCTGGCCGTCATCTTGAGCATTGGGTCTGGCTCTGTTCAGCTCACGCGCCCGCCCACTGCCCGACCTCTCTGGAGGTGGCCAGGCTCCAGTTACACTCCAGCCTGGAAATGAACGGCTGCTCTATGAAAAGCGCGTGAGACGGAACTGCCTTAAAGCTAAGGACAGGGGGGTCCTAGCTCCCACGCGCGGCTTGCCAGCGTACTTGGAATCCCTTCTTCTGGCCCAACGCAGCGAGCTGCAGAAAACATTGCTTCCAAGTGTGCAAAATTACTGTAGTTAGTACACTCGAGGAAGAGCTTGCGGTCATCGGGAGTGTATTAAAATGCACAACTGTGTTTGTTCTATGCACTACAATACCCATAGCTCCCTGACACTGAAATCCTGAGGTTGTAAACTTATAAACGTATAAAAAACATGTAGATTCCACATGAGGATACACTGAAAACAGGAATAAAATTTCCCTGAGCTTTATAGCACCATAACTTATTACATTCATTTGATGATATATTGACTCAAATACTAGTGTCATGAAGTCTGAGAGGCATGTGTTTTGAAGAATAAAAATATATTACTTTCTAGAATAGTTGTTAAGCTAGACTTGGTTTCCCAGGGTTGGCATTTGACTAGAACACTAGGTCCCACGTTTCTGAAACGTGGAAACAGAGACAGAGAGAAACACAGAGGGAGAGACACTGAGAGAGAGACAGACAGATGGACAAGACAGGCAGACTTTCTGGCTAAAGCATGGGTTTTTTTTGCTGTGCAAAAAGACTGAGGTGAACTGAAATGTGAACATCATCAAAGTTTGAAATAACTTTATCGACAAAGAAATAAGTGAGCGAAGTAGCCGCTTCCCTGAGTCAGGAGCCGGGAGGCGCCGGAGCCCAGGGCCCGCGCCAGGCTCAGGGATGGGTCACGCTCATATCCCTCTTCCCAAAGTGCTCCCGATCTGTGAAGAGTTCATAAGGAACCAACGAGCCTCCCTGGGGAAGCCTGGCTCCTCCTGGGAAACCTCAGAGCAGTTCCGAAATGGCGTCCTTAACATGGGGATGACAAGACGCGAGCCTCCTTGAATGACTGAAGAACGTGTTCAGAGAACGGGTCACCATCCGCTTCTGAAAGGGATTTGCTTCTTAAATGACTTGGAAGCCACAGGCTGCGGTCAGGAAGGAGACTCGCAGGGCCGCTGCCACCCCCCCTTCGTGACATCTGGCAAGACTCCAGCAGAGTGAGACACCCAGACATCCCGGGAGCGCAGCGACTCCTCCAGCGCTGAGCCGAGTCCTGGCCACCGAGCCCAGCACTCTTCCCGGCCGGAGCCGGGCCTCCCCCTCACCGTGTGCTCCAGACGAGAGCGAGGCTTGCACACCCACGTTCGGCTGAACCGGAGCGTCCAAACTCTAAACAGCAAGCCCCCCAAAAACGGGAATGAGGAAAACCGTCTGCCCTCATCATCTCAGAGAACGAACTCAAAGATCACCCGCTAAGGGACCAGAACAGCGATGTGGCCACGGCCTCCAGATCATCCACCGAGTGAGAACCACTCGGGAAGGCTCCGGCTGAGCTTCCTCAGAGGCTCCAAGTCTCGGGACGCAGGCCGGCTCTCTCTTCCTGGGGGGACAGCGCTCGTGGCCTCCCTCCCGCAGGGGACGCCGCGTCCCCCCGAGGAGGGCTGTGCGGATCTCCCGGCCCGGCTCTGAGAGACCGTCTGTTGGTCGACTGACCCCCAGCCTCCCGACAGCTGCTCCCCCTTGGTTTCCCGCCTGTCACTGCGCACGAATCCCTGAGCGCTGGGTGGAGGAGGGTGGGCACAGGCAGAGTCACCGCGTGGGACCCGAGCTCAGGAATTCACGCTCACCGGACAGCTCAGATAAGGTGGGACAGGGCAAAGACACGCCGGCCCTGGAGAGTCCGTCTAAGATCATGCTCACACGGCTTCCCTGAGGCCTCAGCCCAGCTCCTCGTGCGCAGCCGGGTGCGCGAGGCTGCATGTGCACGTGTGTTCTGTGACCGGCGGTCCTTAGCCGTTCCTCACAAGCACCACGTGTACCGAGCGTTAAGGACAGACGCAAACTCCACCCCTCCCCACAGGCACCCTCCCTCCCTCCCCTCCCGGGGCTTGGAGGCGTCGGCCGTCCCCGGCCGTGCGGGAAGCCTCTCTCCTCCCATCCTCGGCCACGTGCCTCCACATCCATCCCAGTTCTAGAAGGTTCCCACACTCCTCCCGGAGCACCCCACGCTGCACAGCAGAGCCGCATTTCCTTGCTGGGGAAAACGCACAGAAAGCAGACCAAGCACACTTTCCTCATGAAACTCACCCTGGACTCAGTCCTATGAGCGTCCACCCGAGACCCAGCACTGGAGTCAAAGTCCACTCAGGGACAGCACAACGCAGTGCCCAGAGGCCTGGCCACACCTGCTGGGCAGAGGGAGGAGCCCAGGGATGCCCACGCTCCCCCACCCTGCAGCCCCAGCCCAGAGACATCACCTCCCAAGACGTCACCTCCAAAGACGTCACCTCCAAAGACATCACACCCCAAAGACGTCACCTCCAAAGACGTCACCTCCAAAGACATCACACCCCAAAGACATCACACCCCAAAGACGTCACCTCCCAAAGACGTCACCTCCAAAGACATCACACCCCAAAGACGTCACCTCCCAAAGACGTCACCTCCAAAGACGTCACACCCCAAAGATGTCACCTCCAAAGACATCACACCCCAAAGACATCACCTCCCAAAGACGTCACCTCCAAAGACGTCACCTCCCAAGACGTCACCTCCCAAGACATCACCTCCAAAGACGTCACACCCCAAAGACGTCACCTCCAAAGACGTCACCTCCCAAGACGTCACCTCCAAAGACGTCACCTCCCAAGACGTCACCTCCCAAGACGTCACCTCCCAAGACGTCACCTCCAAAGACGTCACCTCCCAAGACGTCACCTCCAAAGACGTCACACCCCAAAGACGTCACCTCCCAAAGACGTCACCTCCAAAGACGTCACACCCCAAAGACATCACCTCCCAAAGACGTCACCTCCCAAAGACGTCACCTCCCAAGACGTCACCTCCAAAGACGTCACCTCCAAAGACGTCACACCCCAAAGACATCACCTCCAAAGACGTCACCTCCAAAGACGTCACCTCCAAAGACGTCACACCTAAGAGACGTCACCTCCAAAGATGTCACCTCCCAAGACATCACCTCCCAAGACATCACACCCCAAAGACATCACCTCCAAAGATGTCACCTCCAAAGACGTCACCTCCAAAGACGTCACCTCCAATGGTGTCACCTCCAAAGACGTCACCTCCAAAGACGTCACACCCCAAAGATGTCACCTCCAAAGACGTCACACCCGAGAGACGTCACCTCCAAAGACATCACACCCCAAAGATGTCACCTCCAAAGACATCACACCTGCAAAACGTCACATCCAAAGACGTCACCTCCAAAGACGTCACACCCCAAAGATGTCACCTCCAAAGACGTCACCTCCAAAGACGTCACCTCCAAAGACATCACACCTGCAAAACGTCACATCCAAAGATGTCACCTCCAAAGGCGTCACACCCCAAAGATGTCACCTCCAAAGACGTCACCTCCAAAGACGTCACCTCCAAAGACATCACCTCCAAAGACGTCACCTCCAAAGACGTCACCTCCAAAGACGTCACACCCCAAAGATGTCACCTCCAAAGACGTCACCTCCAAAGACGTCACCTCCAAAGACGTCACCTCCAAAGACATCACCTCCAAAGACGTCATACCCCAAAGATGTCACCTCCAAAGACGTCACCTCCAAAGATGTCACCTCCAAAGACGTCACCTCCAAAGATGTCACCTCCAAAGACGTCACCTCCAAAGACGTCACCTCCAATGGTGTCACCTCCAAAGACGTCACCTCCAAAGACGTCACACCCCAAAGATGTCACCTCCAAAGACGTCACACCCGAGAGACGTCACCTCCAAAGACATCACACCCCAAAGATGTCACCTCCAAAGACGTCACACCCCAAAGACGTCACCTCCAAAGACATCACACCCCAAAGATGTCACCTCCAAAGACGTCACATCCAAAGATGTCACCTCCAAAGACATCACACCCCAAAGATGTCACCTCCAGAGACGTCACCTCCAAAGACGTCACCTCCAAAGATGTCACCTCCAAAGACGTCACCTCCAAAGACGTCACACCCCAAAGACATCACCCCCAAAGGTGTCACCTCCAAAGACGTCACCCCCAAAGGTGTCACCTCCAAAGACGTCACCTCCAAAGACGTCACACCCCAAAGACATCACCCCCAAAGGTGTCACCTCCAAAGACGTCACCTCCAAAGACGTCACCCCCAAAGACATCACCCCCAAGGTGTGGGGCTGCTGCTTCGTGCATAAAACAGTGACTCTGGGAAGTGGACAAGAGGCTCTGTGCTGTCTGAGTCTCTCCTCCATGTGTGGAGACTGACCAGCAGTGGCCACTTCACTCCAGAGCCTGGGCACACATGCATGCGCACGCGCACACACACACGCTGGCTGGGCACCATCGCCCCTGGACACACAGCTCCTGTGGTGTGACTGGTGAGAGCACTGGCTGTCACGTGTGCACACGCTCACACGCACACATGCACACACGTGCGCACATGCACACACATGCACATGCACACACGCACATGCACACACACGCACGCACACACTCACGCACGCACATGCACACACGCACACATGCACACATGCACACGCATGCACATGCACACACATGTATACACATGCACACACGTGCAATGCGCACATGCACACATGCACATGCACACACGCGCACATGCACACCCGCGCACATGCACACACGCACACACACGTATACACATGCACACACACGCGCGCACACACCTGTACACACACACCCCGCTGGCTGGGCCACCCTCACGGCGCATAGCCAGGCCCCGTCCACTCCCGCCCGGCCCGCGGCCCGCCCTGCCAGCCCACTGACCTCCCGGTCAAGCATCTCCGCAGGGAGTACGAGGCGCCGCCCCCGCAGGTCCGAGAACAGTCGCTCCAGCCGCCCCAGGAGTCCCAGTTGCCGTCCCTGCCGTCCTCCGAAGGCCCGTGTCTTGGGGTCTAGGGATGAAAAGAGGAGGCCAGTCACAGCGGGACACACCGCCAGGCCGGTCTGCAGGGGCCCGGGTGCGCGGGACATGCCGCCAGGCCGGTCTGCAGGGGCCCGGGCGCGCGGGACACACACCGCCCAGGCCGGTCTGCAGGGGCCCGGGTGCACGGGACACACCGCCAGGCCGGTCTGCAGGGGCCGGGTGCGCGGGACACACACCGCCAGGCCGGTCTGCAGGGGCCCGGGCACGCGGGACACACCGCCAGGCCGGTCTGCAGGGGCCGGGTGTGCGGGACACACACCGCCAGGCCGGTCTGCAGGGGCCCGGGCACGCGGGACACACCGCCAGGCCGGTCTGCAGGGGCCCGGGCACGCGGGACACACCGCCAGGCCGGTCTGCAGGGGCCCGGGCGCACGGGACACACCGCCAGGCTGGTCTGCAGGGGCCCGGGTGCACGGGACACACCGCCAGGCCGATCTGCAGGGCCCGGGTGCGCGGGACACACCGCCCAGGCCGGTCTGCAGGGGCCCGGGCGTGCGGGACACACACCGCCAGGCCAGTCTGCAGGGGCCCGGGCATGTGGGACACACACCGCCCAGGCCGGTCTGCAGGGGCCCGGGCACACGGGACACACCGCCCAGGCCGGTCTGCAGGGGCCTGGGCACGCGGGACACACCGCCAGGCCGGTCTGCAGAGGCCCGGGCATGCGGGACACGCCGCCCAGGCCGGTCTGCAGGGGCCAGGTGTGCGGGACACGCTGCCCAGGCCGGTCTGCAGGGGCCCGGGCATGCGGGACACACCGCCCAGGCCGGTCTGCAGGGGCCCGGGCGCGCGGGACACACCGCCAGGCCGGTCTGCAGGGGCCGGGCATGCGGGACACACCGCCAGGCCGGTCTGCAGGGGCCGGGCATGCGGGACACACACCGCCCAGGCCGGTCTGCAGGGGCCCGGGCATGCGGGACACACACCGCCAGGCCGGTCTGCAGGGGCCCGGGCATGCGGGACACACACCGCCAGGCCGGTCTGCAGGGGCCGGGCACGCGGGACACACACCGCCCAGGCCGGTCTGCAGGGGCCGGGTGCGCGGGACACACCGCCAGGCCGGTCTGCAGGGGCCTGGGCGCCCGGGTCCAGGGGTCCCGCGGTGGAAATCCAGAGGCCTGACCCCTGCCGGCTTTGATTTTTATCCCTCCTCAGCCAATTAAAAAGGGGACAACTTGTGTCTGTCAAAGGAGGTACAAATGAGTGCCCACCAAGCAAGCACAAGGCCCCAAGTTCAAACCCCAGTACCACCAAACAAAAAGAAATACTAAAAGGAAACATTTCGATTAGAATATGATACTGGTAGAGCAACACTTGTTAAGTTTTTCTTCTGATATTGTACTAGTAGTGCATATTAGTTATACAAAACAGAATATTCTGGTCATGTCTATTAAGATGTTGATGAGTGTAAGGGCTTAGTGTGGGGTCACAAACAACGTAGTAGGTGATTTGCTTTATTTATTTCAGGTCTCCCATGTAGCCACGGCTGGCCTTGAACTTGCAATCCTCCTGCCTCCCGAGTACTGGGTTAATCAGAAAAAAAACTCGCAAAACTTCATAGAGCACAGCAAAATTAATTCCAGATATATCAGAAATTTACATTAAAACATTAGAAAATCCGGAGCCAGTCAGCATACGGCATTATCACAGGAAGATTTATCTGAAGGTTGGAACTCTGAAGGAGAAGCCTGGGTTGACGGCGCTGGAACAAACGTGCCATCTTGGACAGAGAGGCCACCCGCACGCACAGAGACCACGGGGCAGGTGCACGGCTAGGAGGACAGCAGGACGCGACCCAGGGGGACAGACAGCTGTTGCTTCCCCCAGCCCCGTCAAGAGCTGAAGCAAATTCAACACAACGGCCAACTGCGTAAAACCAGGGAGCGAGCCCACCCTGGTGCCGCTTCGCTGCTTCGTGAGCATCCACGGCGGTGGACGCTGGTTTCGCAAACATGGCAGAGGAAGATGCAACACTGGCTAACGCCCCAGGACACCCCGTACGTCAGGAAGGAGAGCCGGGCACACATGGGAGGGAGGGCGTGATCCGTTTTACCTTCTCCTGCTTTTTGCTTTGTTTCTCTGCACTTCAGAGCATCATTTAAAAAAAATACCCAATTAGAAACAAGCAAGCAGACAAGAACCCACCTTTCCTGGCACACCGCAGGGCTCAAGGCGGACAGAGCTTATGAACCGCGAGGTTCGTGGAGGGCGCGGCGACCTACCGACACACCGCAGGCCGAAGCCGCGCTAGACGCGGCACGGGGTTCCGGGAGCCTTCAGGCGGGCGCCTCATCCGGCCCTTCCCCAGAAAAGGAAAAAGCTAGTAACAAGTAAATTAAGAAAGCGATTGCAGAAAGGGCCTGAGAAGCTGAACTGAAAAACTAACTGGCCGCAGAGGAGTTTCCCACTCAGGTTCCCTCAAGTCCCCCAGTCAGTGGGCCCTGGCCTGGGGCCAAGCCTCCGACCAGAGGTAACACTTCGCAGAGTTTCAGTGAACGGCCCAGCGGAGGGGCAGGTAAGCACCCGGCACCCGATCGGACCTGTCAGCAGCAGCGGGGCCTGGTGGAGCCCTACGATTTACAGAGCTAATTAGGCCACTGCTCCGTTCTATTCTCCACCCTTAATGCCACTGGCCACAACCAGGTCCCTCCCGTCCACTGTGTGGTATAAAATACCATTTTTAATTCAAACACTAAAAACAAAACCCCACAGTAAGTAGTTCAACACATTCATCTGGACTTTGAGGTGGGGTTGAGTCCAGATTATTTAGGCCAACATTTAAAATACACACAGCTGACCCTGATTTTTCTTTTTTTGTTACTCAACACCCGGATAGATCCAATGTGAAAAGTTGGAAAACATCACCGGGTGTTTTCAGCATGGAAGCTGAGCTGTCTCTAAGACACTGTTCTAATTGGTTTTTGTTCCCACGATCCCGTCTGTTCTGTGTACGTTAGAATAGGGCTGCTGTCTCTGACTCCACCTCTCCTAACAAAGAAGTAAATTCCAAGATTGTTAGAACAGGCGTGTGACCCGGCACACACGTATGGCTTCTGATCGGACCAGGAGGGCACCTTCCCCTCTGGAAACAGAGGGAGTTCTCGAGTTCCTCTCCTCTCGATGGCCAGGCTTCGGCCGGGAGCTGTTGGCCCCATCTGTGATGCTTGGGAGGCAGAATTCAGAACGATCCAAAGTTCTAGGCCAGCGCAAGCAAACACATGAGTGGGACCCGTCTCAAGGACAAAGCCAGGCACAGCAGCGCGGCCTGACAGCTGCACGGAGCCGGAGGACTGCTGTCCAGACAGCCCTGAGAAAGCCGGCAAGCCCGCGCCCAGAAGAGCACTAACGCAAGAAAGGGCTGGGGCCACGCAAGGGGTCACGCCCCTGCCTGGCAGAGCTGGAGGGTGGGCTTTGCCTGGCCCTTCATTCTAGGCCTTCTCCTTATCCAAGAGGGAGCGACCGCAGGGCTGTCTCCTGCCCGGTCCCCTCTCTTCCCTCTGGTCCTAGCCCAGCCACAGGGACACACAGCAGCCTGAGGGGGTGCGAAGGGGCGCTAGATCGCTGACGAGAAAGCACCTCCGTTCTTGGGCTCGCGGCTTTGGGTGTTCACCCAAGTCCCTGATAACTGTGCGGGACAGACCCTCACCGCAGGACCCCACCGCGGTGAGTTTCTGCTCTGGACAGCAGGAAGCCGACACGGGACCTGTGAGCAAAGTTTAATGTTACAATAATAACATCAATAATACCAGCTACCACAACCCGCACCAACTGAAGGAAGAAATCAGCCATAGGAGGGACGGGGTCAAAAAGGGGTCTGCATGCCTGGTGGTGAGCTGCGAGGTATTGTGTGCTTGGTGGTGGTGAGCTGCGAGGTATTGTGTGCTTGGTGGTGGTGAGCTGGGAGGTACTGTGTGCTTGGTGCTGGTACTGTGTGCTTGGTGGTGGTGAGCTGCGAGGTACTGTGTGCATGCCAGGTGGTATTGTGTGCTTGGTGGTGGTGAGCTGGAAGGTACTGTGTGCTTGGTGCTGGTACTGTGTGCTTGGTGGTGGTGAGCTGCGAGGTACTGTGTGCATGCCAGGTGGTACTGTGTGCTTGGTGGTGGTTAGCTTGGAAGCACTGGAGCTGTGTGCCCTCCCCGGGACACACTGGGCCTGCGCAGAGCCACAGCTCGGCTCCTGGAGCCCCCCTGGGCCTGCGCAGAGCCGCGGCTCGGCTCCTGGAGTCTCCCTGGGCCTGCGCAGAGCCGCGACTTGGCTCCCGGAGCCCCCCTGGGCCTGCGCAGAGCCGCGACTTGGCTCCCGGAGCCCCCCTGGGCCTGCGCAGAGGCGCGGCTCGGCTCCCGGAGCCCCCCTGGGCCTGCGCAGAGCCGCGACTTGGCTCCCGGAGCCCCCCTGGGCCTGCGCAGAGCCGCGGCTCGGCTCCTGGAGTCTCCCTGGGCCTGCGCAGAGGCGCGGCTCGGCTCCTGGAGTCTCCCTGGGCCTGCGCAGAGCCGCGGCTCGGCTCCTGGAGTCTCCCTGGGCCTGCACACCACTTTTTTGTTTTTCTTTGTTATTTTCTAATTGCAAAGGAATTTGGCGCGTGTTTTAACGCTCACTTCTTGCTCATCTCTGTTTTCTGAGGCCCTGGGATGAACAGGAACTGCTTATAGAATAAAACAGGCAGTTCTTTTGTTTTAAAAAAGAAAATAGGAAAAACACAGAGAGGGAAAACTATGGAACCATATCCAAAAAAGACTGTGCTGTGGTCCTGCTTGCTTTAAACGATCAGGCTTAAAGATCTCTTAGGAAATTCCATTTTTCACCTAAGTGAAATTCTAGCTAGGGAGTACTCTGGAGGAGAGATGCTGTTTACACATTACGCAGACCTGGGGAGCGGGGCTGTGGCTCGTTGCCTGCCCTTCCTTCTCCGCTCCGGCATAAATCAAATCACACAGGACTTTCCTGACAAGCTCTTAAATCTACAACTTG